ATACGGGGGTTGTAGAAGTGTGACATTTCAAATGCCATAGATGGAACTGAGGACAAGGCAATATATGAAGACAGTGATTCGTCATCAGACACAGTTGAGGACAAGCTAATGGTTGGGAGTTTTGACAGTGATGAGGAGTTGTATGAATTTTATGATGAATAAAACTTGAGTTCAATAACTTTATGTAATGCATTTTTTTCAAATTTTGGGCCCCCAAATTAAGGTGCGTCTTATACATGGGGAAATACAGCAAGTAAATGTTATTTTTAATATGCATATAATATTCCAGTTTAAAAGGTATCCACAATCTATTATGATTTCATTAATTTGAGGTTATTCAAAATAATACTTCAGCAAATATGTTTTTGAATAAATTTCTGTCCAGATTTCTGACAATTTTGTTAGGAAAATTTTCTAGGAGGGGAATTAAGATGCCTGAAGTTATAAATATTTTAATGATGCCCCACACATGTTCCAGAAAGTATATACAAATTAACTTCTACATCATCTCTTTGTGAGTCTTGGTGACATTGTATCCTCTCTGATGATGACATTTAGCAGTTTTAAAACAATCTTTCCTGATTCCATGAGGAATAAGGCAGGTGTTTGGGCCAAATGTAATTCTCCTCTTGGAAATCATACAGAATGAGATTTCAGGAAGACCCACAAAATATGTCTAATAGCAAAATCCAGAGGCAGTGAAAAGCCTTGAAATCCAATTCATGTGTCAGTGGGGGCCAAAGCAATTGAGGCCAGTAAAACCTATGCAGGAAATCCTGGTGGAGTAACAGAGAGGAATGGGAGTGTGGAAGGGACCCCATGATGGCAGATGCCGACAATTACCAGCAGATACGTATTCCAAGAAGGAAAAAGCCTAGCAGGAACTAGGCTCGAACAGGAAGTCATTGCTGTGAGAAATGGGGAAAGATGCTTTGTCCCCATTGGTGGCCGACCTCAGAAAGCACATCATTTAAAGAGGATGGAAATGCATTGGAAGAAGGGGCTGTGTCTCTCGGTGGCAGCTCCCAATGACAAAGCTGGAGTAGCTCAGAATGAGTGCATGAGCCATCTCTTATAAGGACCCACAGACTTTACAAAGTGCGTCCTGACAAGGAGGGGTCGTGCAACTGCTCGTGTGGTGGGCTTCCTGCCTGGGCTTCCCTCCTGACATGGAAATGTGGGCAAGTTGACAGACTGTGTGGCTGATCATGGACCAGTGTGATGAGGGACTAGAAACAGATTCTTGCCCCTTTCCCTGCCAGGGAGGGACCACTGAAGGTACCGTTTGGTAGCTCTGCACATTTAGAAATGGCCAGCCCCACAGCCCTCCCTTCTGTAGCTTTCTCCCCTTTCCTGCTTTTTTCCATTTTCGTTTTATCCTGCTTTCCTGGAATTGCCCTGCTTAGTAAAAATCCTCTTCTGTGTCTAATGATGATGTCATCTTCATTGTCTGATTTCCATTGGAATTTCTCCTCTGATTGCTCTGATTCATGAGTTAGTTATTCAACAATGTTTTGCTTAATTTTCAAGTGATTGAGAATCCCCTAGTTATCCTTTTGTGTTACTGATTTCACTGCCAGAGAATAAATGTGGAATAATTTCAGTCCTTTTAATTACATAATGACTTGCTTTATGGCCCAACATATGGTCAACTTTGGCAAATATTCTAGTAGTACTTGGAAAAAAGAGTGAATTTTGCCATTGTTGGGAACAATGCACCATACATGTCAAGTAGGTCAAGTATATTAACTGCTTTCTTCAGACCTTCTCTAGTCTTGCTGACTTTTTCTTTTACCATTGTTCTATTAGTTTTTGAGAGTCATATTTTAAAACCACCCACATGATGGTGAATTTACCTATTTCTCCTTTCTTTATTTCTGTTAATTCTGCTTTCTAAAATTTAAAGCTATGATTTTAGGAGGCTATATTTTGGATGGCGATATCCCCCTGACTTTTTCATGGGTATGGAATTCTGCCTGTCTTTTTAATAAAGTTACTTGCCTTAGAGTCAGCTTTTTCCATTGTTAACATAGCTATCCCAACTTATTTCATTTAGTGTTTGCATGATATATATTTTCCCTTCCAGTTACTTTCAGCCTGTCTTTGTCCTTATGTTATTCTCTTGTAAACAACATGAGTTGTATTTTATGTTTTTGTTTTTCAATTCAACCTGACAATCTTTGTCTTTTAGATAGACTATTTACTCCATTTTCATTTAATGTAATTACTGATATAGTTGTATTTGTATTTACCATTCCTACTATTGTTTTCTATTTAATCCATCTCTTTATGTAGCCTTTTCATCCTTTCTTGAATTTATAGGGATTGATCAACTTTTTATTGTCCCTTTTTCCTCTACCAATTTGTTAGTTAATATTATTTTATTCTTATATGTTACCTTAAATTTTATATGTAGTTTTCAAAGATGTTACTATAGATATTAGCTGTTACCTAGATAGTACAACATGCATCATTTATATGTTACATTCTCTTTAATGACTTTTTTAAAGGAGAGATCCTTTCTGTGTGATCTGAACACTTCCAGAGGAAAAGAAACTTCCAATTACTTTCATGAAGTGAGAATATCATTGATACCTAAGCTTAGTCAAAATTTCACAAGAAAACTATTCCCAATTTCATTTATGAATT